GTCACTTGCCGATTTCGTGTTAGAAACCAGAAGGGACTTGGAGGAAGGCAAACAAAATATGAGCAGAAAATTCGTTCCTGTAGATTCCTCGAGAATCGGATTTAATTACGGGCGGCTGAACCCCCCCCCCCCCCCCCCCCCCCCCCCCGCATTTGAACCAATAATCTCTGCGCTGCTGCCTCAATGCTGTAAGTGACACACATACAATACCAGCAGCGTATACGGTTTCCAGAGGCAGACTTTACAGCAGTGAGAATTGTATGCACGTTGAACTTCTTTCGCACCATACGTAGCCAACCGTACGAACGAACCAGAGGTTCGGTGACTATACTGTGCCGACGGAGTTCTTATCACGGAAACAAAATAAATATGGCAAATCGCCTGATGAAGATGGTTGTAATCACGAGCGAAACGTCCGTACTCAAATTGTAAATGTTGTGGGTTTACTCTCCAGCACACGTGGTGTGCTGAAGTAGTCACGAACTGGCACGTTTTGTTTACGTGACAAACCCTACCCATTGGTTTGTGCCGGGTGGTGGTGGATTAACGACACATGGAATCTTACGCGATCTAACCCGAAACAAACTCTGTATCATGGATCACAATTTCAACAACACGTTCTGTGCCATTTGTCGTCGCCGCGTGGAAGGGCAGGTGTATGAAGGAGCCACATCGCTTGCTCATTTATTGTAAAGCAACAACATGAACACCGATTGCTTGATTTATCAGCCGCGATCCATACACTGCTGCATAAACGACAAAGAGATCGCCCCGTGTAGCCTTAACAAACTCTAGGGGCAAGTGCTGTTAGCGAGCAGCACCTATGAAGGCCGGAACGGTACACGAGGGGGTGGGTGGCCAGCACCACGCCCGACCGCCTTTGTCTCCTCAGTGGCGATGTTTACACACCGCACCGAGTACTAATTTGAGGCTGAGTTGACCTAAAGGAGGCCCAGGACCGGTTCAAGATAATCGTCACTGGGTGTTAGCCGTGAGCGGGAATCTAACCCGGAGTCGCCGGGTTCCTTGCGCAGCGTAGCGCTAACTGCTACACTGCCGCACGTACATACACACACATGCACACGTACATACACACACACGCACACGTACATACACACACTCACACATGCGCACAGCACATACACACCTGGTCACTGCCTCTCGGGGTATCGTCGCGGTGAGACGATCTAACTTAGCTCCCACACGCGTTGAGCCCCAAAGCGAATTACAGCCCAAGTGGTGAGTCGGACGAGAGGCTGAACCACCGTGGCCCTAATTCCGCGGGTGTCCAGTTGCGTTGGACGATGGAGTCACTTATCATAATTACTTCAAATTCCCATCGCCCCCGAAAAGCCTCCCCACACCCCCCTCCAAACAACTTTAACAGCGACCTCCCATCCTTCCCTCGCCAACGTAACACCCGTCCCACCGCCGCCGCCACCAAAGCTCATCATCATCATCCGGACAACCCTCCCTTCCACCGCCAAGCGCCAGGTCTCATCCAGGTCACCCGAGACGTCCTCACGAAAGGCATTATCCAGAATCAGCGCGACCCAGTTGTCCGACGCCACGCCACGCCTCTCCGCGCCGTGCGTCCGCGTCAACGGATCGCCTCGCTCGGAGGCTCAGGGACGTGCGGACAGGGGAGGCAGAGCCTCACCTGTCTGTCGTACTCCCAATGGAAATAGCTGTTACGAAAAATAATAATAATAACGTAAAATAAATATTAAGATTTTTCCACTGATCTGTGTTAAAAAATGTCATTTCTGTACGATTACAGTCATTTTTTATCGTCAAAATCGCCAAATTTGCGGAGCTCCGCTGCAGATACAGGAAGAGACGAGAGGTGAGGCAGAGACGAGCTCAGCCTCCCCTCTGATTGCGCAACCCCTCAGTAACTGGATGGAGCGCGGGCAATAAGCGCGTGCCTGTTACTATCTCAGTATGTCACCAATGTAATGTTTGTAGACCCCTTCATTTCATGTCCTCGCCTTCCATACTCCAGGTAACTTATTTCACGTATGTGTATAAAGATATTTAGGCTCGCTGGTCTCGTCATGAAACTGCAATGAAAAAGCACCAGGGGAGGCAGCTATCACATCTGCCTCACTGAGGGGGACGTGTCTAACACGCCCCCCTCAGTGAGGACACGCCCCCTCCGTGAGGCAACGCCCCCCTCAGTGTGTGAATCTGGCTCTGACACTGGCCAGTGCCAACCCCAGCCATTGACCTCACCGCACGTCACTGCGGAGACTGTCACCTCAAACACCCACTGACACCGTCTTCCTGGAGAGAAGAAACGAAAGTGAAGTCCTTCATTAGAACCCAGATTTGAGCATCGGAGCAAGGTGGCCGGAAATCGATTTGTCGAGGGTCTTCCAGCGATACCAATGCAACGTTCAAGGCCCTCTTCAACGAAGGAGGAGCTGCAAAAACGATACGCTCCCGAAGTCCTCTCGTCGAGACGAGCAGCAAATGTTATAGACGTATATAATTGTGTAACCCGTGTCTCGGTACAATAATACAAAAGGGATACATCAACTGTGTCAGATTCGTGAAGCGGGTTGAGGTACTACAGCCATGAACGCTGACTCACTCACCAACTTCAACATGAACGCATATTTGCCGATTAACCGCAAGAGAGAACACGGTCCATGTGAGTCTCTACGTCTGTCTATGTGACAATATGGGTCCTCTATATGCACTTTAAAATCTAGATTTAAAAAAAACGAATTTCTTTAGAAACTCTTTTCTTTAAAACCTCTTATCGGGGGCAATGGGAATTGGAAGAAATCATTTTTTACAGAAATTAGTTTTGTTTAGTTGGTTTGTCCTTGCCCACACCTCCCATTGGCACGGTTGGCTACGAACGGTGCGAAATAAGTTCAACATACTGTACATATTAATGGGCTTATGGATTTTCTATGCAAATATACGACATATCCATGCGAGCAAATGTCCAGTTAATAAGCAAACGTTGGGCCAACGTTGGCCCCGATGTTCCATGCTCACCATGTCGATGTGAGACTATGGGGTTCCCTAACACGAGTTGCCTGGATCTCTGTGTAAGTCAACGAAATCGCCACGTGAGTCGCTATCTCAAATCGCAAGCTGTCCACACCGAGGCAGGCTGCTCGTGAAGACCACTGAGCCGACTCACTCTTCTCTATCAGTCGTGTTCTGTCCCCTTAGTCCTGGTTGACCCTGTGTGACCACGGCCATTCCCTTGGTGGCGAAATGTTAATTACCTCGAATGGCAGACGAGAAGTCGTGGGTTCGATCCCAACTGTGAAGTCTACATATTTGGAGTTTGCATAAAAAAATAGCATTTAATTGGCGGACTTTTATGCTAATTCCTTTGTCAAGGCACCTTAATTCCTCTCACACAGCTTAAAGGTCGCGGTCTGAGCTTGGCTGTGTTCACTCCAGCGCTGTCCTCGAGACAGTCTGGTCCCTTCACCTGATGAAGGCCACTTGTGTTGTGGCCGAAACGTCGTGATTTTTGTTGTTTCATTTTTTACCTACGTGACTTTGCCGAAGAGAACCAAAGAGTATGGATCCTTGCAGTCACGAAAGCTTCAAATCTAGAACAGCCACTTCGTTGTGCTATCATTTGTGGTCAGGTCGCATCTGAGAAAAGAGCTGTGTAGCTGAGTGGGCCTTACCTGGTAACATAAAAATAGTTAGTAACAGTAAATCGCGTGTAATATTCTCCTTTCCATATTTGGCTGCTAAGTGGCGGATGTATACTACCTAAAACTGAATTTTGATTTAAAGCTTTCGTGACTGCAGTAATTCATATTCTTAGTTTTTTCGGTAAAGTCACGTTGAAGAGAAACAACAAAATAATAAAATATATATAAAACAATAAAAAAATCTCACGACGTTTCGACCATAACTCAAACGGTCGTCTTCAGGTGTCTTCTTCACACCTGAAGTCTTCACACCTGAAGACGACCGTTTGAGTTATGGTCGAAACGTCGTGAGAATTTTTTATTGTTTTATATATATATACTATTATTTTGTTGTTTCTCTTCAACGTGACTTTACCGAAAAAACTAAGAATACCTAAAACTAGTTCAACTAATTTCCAAAGACAGTTCATGCATCGTGCATTAATGTGAATGTAAGTCAGTTTCAATGTGTGTTAATACTAATTAATTAACTCCACGCGATATTTCAAAAGAAATATACGTGTAATAAACCTACGTGTCCTAACTTATGGGCCACCCTGTAAAAACAAAAAATATTTTTTATTTAACCAGGTAAGGCCCGCTTGAGCTGCATAGTCCTTTTTCAAAAGCGACCTGGGCCCACAAATGATAGCGCAACGAAATGGCTTATTGTTGTTGTTGTGTGTGAGTGTGTAAGCACTGCGTGGGGAGCGGTAGTGTAGTGGTTAGCGCTACGAATTTGTCGACCCAGGTTCGATTCCCAGCTCACGGCCACTAGAGCACCAGCGACGATTATCTGAACCGGTCCTGGGCCTCCCCTAGATCGACTCGGCCTCAAATGCGTACCTGGTGCGATGTGTGAAACATCGCCACTAGGGAAGACAAAGGCGACCAGGGCGTGGTTGCTGGCCACCACACCCCCTGCTCGCGTGACACCGTGCCCGGCCTTCGTAGGTGCTGCTCGCTGACAGCAGCACTTGCCCCGACGGTCTGCTCCAGGCCATTGTGGGGATCTTTGTCTTTGTAGGCACCATCGGAAGTCGCCCTTGCACAGGAGGACGGTGAATCCGGGAATGGGTTGGGGGAATTAAATAAAATTAAGGTCGCGCTTAAACAATCCACCAACCACCCACCAACATACACACACGTAACCCCCCAGCCACTCACCTCCGTTTAGACGAAAATAAATAAATAACCAACCATTTATATCTAATTAAGACTCTGGGCTTCCAGGGCTTAGGCGGCGAGATTGAGGTCGTCTCTCTTTCTGCTAACGAAAAAAAAGTCTTCTCATCTCTGCTCGAGTCTATATAAGCGGAGGGTGGACGAGCCGTACTTCTTCGGGTGATACAAAAATCCACGAACGCAAACCACCACCACCATCACCACCACCGCCATCACCACCACCAACAACAGCAGCAGCAGCCATCACACCAAAGGGGGCTTAGGAATCAAACTTGCGAATTGCACTGCAGAGATCTTGAAATTGGTTTCAGAAGGGAAATATTTCAAGCAAAATTTTTTAAACTAAAGCAGTTATTTGGTTTTTCTTCTTCTTTTCTCCCGAATCCCCAGAAGTTTGTGGTAAAAAAAAATATATATAAAGGCATTTATTATGATCATAAAAATTGTGGAAATTTCGTTAAAGTGAGATGGAGTAGTTGGTCCAGCATAGTGCTTGTCACTTGCGTAATAAAAGTTGTAATATTTACTTTACAGAATACAAACGTAACATTGTTAATTATTATATAACGTGAGGCAATCAAATAAACATAGCAAAGATTTTCACAAGCACCTCGTACGTTAATTCGCAGGAATAATTTACTCGTGAAAATTTGAGTCGAATCGTTGGCAGTAAATGAACACGAAACAAAACACATTCGGGGGGGTTATTTCGTTGTCGAGTTTCGTTTCAGTGAAGTGCATAAAAAATATATAATTTTGGCCGGAAAATAATTGAGACAACAACAGCAACAACATGACGGCGTCCTGGCAGGGGGCGATGTTCGCGGCTCGCAGGCGACAAGATGACGAAGACACGACGATGGAAAGCCTCTTTAGATACACGAATGAGAACAACACGAAGGGTGAGCAAACATCGTCGCCACCACGACACCGTCATCGTTTGCTGTCCTTCCGCGCCAACCCCGCCTCCACACCTCCGATTAGCGCTGTTGGCTACGTACGGTGCGAAGGAAGTTCAACGCACGCACACATAAATCGTCGTTGTCATCATCGTCATCAGCGGCAGCTATAACGGTACCAACACGGTCATCATTACCACCGTCACCATTCGCATCATCACGAACAATTAACACCATTGTCATCATCATCATCGCAGCTGTGATGTTATTCGACTCGCTTTAGGGAAGAGGCATATTTACGACCCTCTCATCGTGTCCTCTCAAACGATCTTCACCAATAATCTCCTCTCGCCGCGGCATCTCCACCACCAGCACCGCCGTCTGGAAGTGACTCTTCCCCTCCGTTTCCCTCTCTTTCACACCTCCTCGCTCCTGTCATGTCCCCCTTCTCCATTCCTCGCATCATCTGCTCGCCTAAGCCACCCTCTATTCTTCTCAAATTTTCGTCTCCACTCAACAACATCATCATCATCACCACCACCTCATATCAGCTCCTCTCGTCCTCTCTCCTCGTATTCATCTCCTACCACCATCTCCGCTGTCCTCTTCTTTCACCTTCCTACACCTCATCCCCCCCCCCCTCCCCTACTCTGCCGCGTCTCCTCCCACCTCTTCAGATCCCTTCGAGGGCCCCAACTATCATATCGCCCCTCGCTGGGTGTTCAACCTCACGTCCGTGTGGATGATCATCGTCGTCGTCCTCTCGCTGTTCTCCAACGGCCTGGTGCTCGTGGCCACCGTGAAGTTCAAGAAGCTGCGGCACCCGCTCAACTGGATCATCGTCAACCTGGCCATTGCTGACATCCTAGAGACCATCTTCGCCTCCACCATCAGCGTGTGCAACCAGGTCTACGGATACTTCATCCTGGGTCACCCGATGTGCGTCTTCGAGGGCTACGTTGTATCCACTTGCGGTGAGTGACGCCTGGGGACGTCTGCGCAAAGATCTGAGCAAAGATGTGGCACAAAAATCTGCGCAATGGTGGTGGGTGTCCATGTTGTTTCGTGTCGACTTTGGTGGAGATGTCCTCACCACTAAACGACGCATGCCTAACGTTTTGCTAACGTTTGGCATGTGGTTGAAAATTTTAGGCCAATGCCGTCTTCTACTGATGATGATTATCTGCTGTTGCTGCTGCTGATGATGATGATGATGATGACGGTCAAGGAGATGCGTCTCAAAATGACTGGTGAAGGCGACTGATAATGATGGCGGTGGTATGTCCGCTACAGATGATGTTGAGGATGCCCACGACACTGCCGATGCTGCTGCTGAGTTCGATGACGATCCCCGATGGTTCCAGGCAGCAATCACAACGGGACCGACGATATCGCTTACTATATGTTTCTGCTGTTGGTGACGATGGCGATTTGTGTTGTTGTTGTTGTTGTAATATTTACGATGACGGCGGCTAATGATGCGCATGCCGACGATGATGCGATTGGTGTCGCGGCGCAGGCATCGCCGGTCTGTGGTCGCTGGCTATCATTTCGTGGGAGCGCTGGATGGTCGTCTGCAAACCCTTTGGCAACATCAAGTTCGACGGGAAAATTGCCACGATCCTCATTGTCTTCTCGTGGGTCTGGCCCGCGTCTTGGTGCTCGCTTCCAATTTTCGGCTGGAGCAGGTAAGGGGAGGGGACCCACGTGAACAACACCCGTGCCTATTCAGACTGTTCAGACTGTTCAGACTGTTCAGACTGTTCAGGCTATTCAGACTGTTCCGACTATTCAGACTGTTCAGACTATTCAGGCTATTCAGACTATTCAGGCTATTCAGAATATTCAGACTGTTCCGACTATTCAGACTGTTCCGACTATTCGGACTATTCAGACTATTCGGACTATTCAGACTGTTCCGACTATTCAGACTGTTCCGACTATTCGGACTATTCAGACTGTTCCGACTATTCAGACTGTTCAGACTGTTCAGTATATTCAGTCTGTTCCGACTATTCAGACTGTTCAGACTGTTCAGTATATTCAGTCTGTTCCGACTATTCAGACTATTCAGACTGTTCCGACTATTCAGACTATTCAGACTGTTCCGACTATTCAGACTATTCAGACTGTTCAGACTGTTCCGACTATTCAGACTATTCAGACTATTCAGACTATTCAGACTGTTCAGACTGTTCCGACTGTTCCGACTATTCGGACTATTCGTCGTCACCGACGTTGGCCGTGTGAGCGGGAATCGAACTCGGGTCGCTATGTGGGGGGGTAGGGGGGGGGTGTTCGTATTGCAGTGCCGGCAATGCCTCCCCCAAGCCCCCCCCCCCCCCCCGTTCTCGATCTTTGCTGTCGGTCTCTCCTCGGTTGCTCTTTCCCGTGTGCTCGATCCACTTCACTGGGACAAACCCGCTCCCTCCCCCCCTCCTCCTTCTCCTCCACATTAAGCGGTCACCTTCGCTCGCTCGTTCCCGCTCCTCACTCAAAACTCACTTCTTGTTCCCCAGCTCACCCCCACGACCCCCCCTCCCCCCTTAATCTCCCCCTCATAACCAACACCGTTACTGTCCCCCATGATTTGGCTATCACTCATTAACCCCATTAATTTAATACATTCATCATCATTTACTGTCATCAATTTCGCTTTCACCGAATCCACACATTGCTTCTTCCTCTCTCGTCTATTTCATTTACCGCATCTCCACCATCACGTTCGTATGTTCCCCCGTTGTGAGTTTCCTCGCCAAGCGCCGTATCGTCAAGGCGCCGTGTACATTCGCGTGAAGACAAGACGAGGCAGCGCCGCGTGCGAGCGAGCGAGCGAGCGCGTTCCCGCAACGCGACGTGGCCCCCGGGGTGGAGGAGACCCTGGGCGTTCCGCGGCGCGTTCCTTCTCCTGCACGGTTTCCATGCCGCTGCTGTGCCCCTGCTTCCAGGTACTGGCCGCACGGGCTGAAGACGTCGTGCGGACCGGACGTGTTCAGTGGCAGCACGGACCCCGGCGTGCAGTCCTACATGGTGGTGCTCATGATCACCTGCTGCTTCCTCCCCCTCTCCATCATTATCCTCTGCTACTTACAAGTCTGGCTCGCCATCCACTCTGTGAGCATTGAGGGGGGTGGGGGTGTAGGAGGGGGAGGAGGGGGGGGGGTGGGCGCGCGCCGGTGCGACTGGCGGGGGGCAACGGGCCAATGGGAGCATCAGATGAGGAAGCGCACACAGAGACATAGGGCACATGAGGATATGAGTGACCAATGTGCCGAGGGGGCACATTGGGCGTTAGGGTAAGGGGGGGGGAGGGGACACAGAGCCACGGAGATGCAGGGAGATCACAAATACAAAGGTCTCCCTGTATAGGCTTAACAGACTGTAGGGGCAAGTGCTGTTAGCGAGCAGCGCATGTGAAGGTCGGAACGGCACGCGAGGGGATGGGTGGATAGCACCACACCCGGCCGCCTTTGTCTCCCCGGAGCGCATAGGGGACACGTGGGCAGGAGGAGAGCGGTGAAGTCACGGGGAGGTAGGGAGTCACTACTCCCCCCCGTGACACAGGAGCTGTCCATGGTACTCGCTGAAGACGAAGTGGTGGTGAGTGAGTGGTGACGAATGGAGTGATGCAGCAATCAGCCTTCGCGTTCTCCTCCCCTATTTTATTTAGATAATTTTGCCGATGTAGATTTTCACACGACGATGATAAGCCACTTCGTTGAGCTATGATTCGTGGCCAGGTCGCTTTTGAAAAAGAAGCTGATGGCTCAGTGGGCCTTACCTAGCAAGATAAATAGTTGAGTTTTTTCGTGTATATATTTTTAAGTTACTTGATTGCCTTGCCTATAATTTATTGTTGTAACGTTCTGAACCGTCCCTATTGGATATTTATCAAAAATAGCTTTATAGCTCATCGAATTCCTCCAGTATAAATAACTGTTCTGATTTTCCACATCCTCTTATCCTCTCTGTCTCTCTCTCTTCTCCCTCCCATGTCATCCTCCTCCGAATCCGCGTCTCCCTCCACCTCCTCTCATATATTTCTTCCATCCTCCACATTCCTTTTTTCTCTTCCGTGCTCCTCCCATGCCTCCCCTCTTCCCGGTGTCCCTGACCATCCTCCACCCCCGCCACCACCACCACCACCACCCCCTCCATCACGCTCGTTCCTTCCTCCCTCCCGCGTTGGCCGAGCGCAGGTGGCGCAGCAGCAGAAGGAGTCGGAGACGACGCAGAAGGCAGAGCGCGACGTCTCCCGCATGGTGGTGGTCATGATCTTAGCCTACGTCTTCTGCTGGGGACCCTACACATTCTTCGCGTGCTTTGCGGCCGCGAACCCGGGCTACTCGTTCCACCCGATCGCCGCCGCCCTGCCGGCTTACTTCGCCAAAGGCGCCACCATCTACAATCCCATAATCTACGTGTTCATGAACAGACAGGTGAGCGGGGCCCCGGGGTGTGCCGGTTTGGTGAGGATCGGCGATTGGTGGCGGAGTGTGTCCAGGCTTGAGGTGCCTCGGGGTTGGCGCCTAGCCTGCGACAAGCGCCCTGGGGACGTCACCGCAACTTAGTGGCGAATGGCAGTTGTTGTTGTTGGTAGTAGTAGTGGTGAGGATGGTGGTGCTCGTGGTTGGAATGGTGGTGATGGTGAAGATGGTGGTGAGAGCAATTGTGGTGGTGAGGACTGTGGTGGTGAATAAGGTGGTTGGTGGTTGTGGTGCTAATGGTGGCGCTGATGATGGTGGTAGTGGTGGTGAAGATAATGGTAATTGTGATGCTGACAATGTTGGTGATTGTAGTTAACGTGATAATGGTAACGGTGGTGGTGAGGATGATGATCGTGTTGGCGGTAATAGTTTTGGTGGCATGGATAAGCAAATATCAGAAGCAGTGGCGGTAGTTGGTGGTGATGACCCGGTTGGCGTGGGAGTGAACATATCATGTATTTTATTATATTACGTCACATTATAACGTGTTGTCGCCACGCAATATTCGCTCGCTGTCCGAATGAGAGAGAGCGTGTGTATGCGCGTATGCACGTTGAACTTCTTTCGCGCCGTACGTAGCCAACCGAGCTAATCGGCGGTGCGTTGGAAGGACAACAAACTAGACACGAAAACTAGTTGTAAAGAAATGAGTTTTCAATGTAGAACGACTCCGACGTTCGAGGAGGAACCACGGGTGAGAGGGAAAGGCATCAGCAAGGCGGTGAGCCGGTATAAAATTCCCATCCCCCCCCCACCTCCAAGCTCTGCGGTCCTCTATACATGAATATTTTTCAGCCAAATGATGTTTATTTTGTGACAAACGCGATCCATCCGCAACACGGATGACAGATGCGACCGTGCAAGGCTGTAAGCGCACACGTGCGTGCGTGTGCATGCGTCCCGTGGTGATAGTGGTTGGTGAGGAGCGGTGGCGCAGTGGTTAGCACACTTAGACTATCAACCCGGCCACCCGAGTTCGATTTGCCGATTCCCGCTCGCGGCCAACATCCGCGACGAATATCTGAAGCGGTCTTGGGGCACTCCGCTAGGTTCAACTCAGCCTGAGAAAGGAGTACGCGCTGCGGCTGCGTACAATGGGGGAGACAAAGGCGGCCCTGGCGTGGCGCTGGCCACCCACCCACCCACCTCGTGTTCCGTGCCGGCCTTCAGCGGCGCTGATCGCCAACGGCACTTGGCCCGACGGTCTGTTGAAGGCCACACGGGGAGAGGGATCTTTGTCTTTGGGGCCGTCCATAAATGACGTCGCGTACCTGGGGGGGGGTGGGGGGGGGTCAGACATTTGTGACGATGTGTGACGAGGGGAGGGGGGAGTTTGAGAAATGTGACGTCACGTAAAAATGCGCAACTTTAAATAAATATAGACAACACGTTCTACTTATATTCTTGGTTCTTTCGGTAAAGTGACGTAGAAGGGAAACAATAAAATAATAAAAATATAAAACAATAAAATTCTCCCGACGTTTCGACTGCTTGTGTTGCAGTCGAGACGTCGTTGAGAATTTTATTGTTTTATATTTTTATTATTTCATTGTTTCCCTTCTACGTGGTGACTTTACCGAAAGAACCAAGAATATGAATCCCTGCAGTCACGAAAGCTTTAAATCAAAACGTTATGCTTAATTAAATAGACTGTTTAATAAATGTTTTCTCCTACAACATCAGAGTGCAGCGCCACATTAAATACGCACTACAATGACAATAGTTTTGATTTAAAGCTTTCGTGACTGCAGGGATTAATATTCTTGGTTCTTTCAGTAAAGTCACGTAGTAGGGAAACAATAAAATAATAAAAATATAAAATAATAAAATTCTCAACGACGTTTCGACTGCAACACAAGCAATCATCATCAGGTGATGATGATTGCTTGTGTTGCAGTCGAAACGTTGCAGTCGAAACGTCGTTGAGAATTTTATTGTTTTATATTTTTATTATTTCATTGTTTCCCTTCTACGTGACTTTACCGAAAGTACCAAGAATATGAATCACAATAGTGAAAAACGATTTGAAGCATGTTTTATTTTCAAAATGGAAATATGTTTTTTTTGGGGGTTAGGGGCAGAGCTTTGTGACGTCACATTTGAGGGGGAGGGGCCTGACTTTTTGTGACGCCGTGTGACGAGGGGGGGGGGGGGGTCAAAAATCGTCCCAAATCGCGTGACGTCATTCATGGACGGCCCCTAAAGGTCACACCGGGTGTGGGATCTTTGTCGTTGTTGCGTGGCAGTTCCGCAACTGCATCTTGCAGCTGTTTGGGAAGAAAGTGGACGACGGCTCCGAGGTGTCCAGCTCGTCCCGCACCGAGGTCTCCTCCGTCTCCAACTCGTCCGTCAGCCCCGCGTGACACCGCGTGCTCCTCACCGCACCGCCCAACCCTCACCGCGCCCCCCCCCCCCCCCCCCCCCGCTCACCGCCGTGCAACGTTCGACTCAACCCTCGCCACGCTTCTGCTCACCACAACCTCACCACTCACTGCTACTCGCCACACTGTTCGACTTCATCACACTGCTCACCGCCGCTGCTCACCCTCACCACCGCTGCTCACCACGGAGGGATGCTCAGTGGACACACCGTGCGTCAGCTTGCCGCGCCGCCGTGTGCACCTCACCAGCACGACTCACCGCACCACTCACCAAATGTGATCAGCGCAGTGCCCGCCGCCACTAGATCACTACTCACCAAAGTGCTCACCAACGCTTCCCACCAACGCTACTCAGGCACTGCTCACCAACACAACTCACCGCAGTACTCACCGACGCTCACCAATATTACTCACCACAGCGTTGACCGACACTACCCACCGCAGTTCACACCGCAGTACTCACCGACGCTCAGCAGCACCACCAACTCACCAAAACACCAACTCAACACACGGTCCCGTACTCACCTCACCGACGCTCACCATTATCCGCTCACCATCATCAACATCATCGAACGCCATATGAAATAAAATAATCGCAACCATAGTCCCACGCCCATACTGGCCTGTTTCAGGAACGCACTGCTGGCGTGCAAATGTACAGCGCAAAAGCACAACGCACGCGTGCGCGCCTGGGTTCGAGTCGGGGTCAAGGCTGAAGCTCAGCGTTCAGCCGGATCAACACTCGAGCGAACCGGTTGCGTCAACGTTGCGTTGCGCGCAAATTGCACGACTCGCACCCGGTTGTGAGCGCGGTTGCGCCAACTTTGTGCCGCGCGCGGCTGAACGCGTCGCAGCTGGTTGCGAGCAGTTGCGTCGGTTTTTGCGTGACTCGCAACTGGACAAAGCAGTTGCAGGCGATGGTTTCAGGTGGGCGACTCGTGAGAGCGATCTTGTTACTGCTCGACGGATAGGTCAGGTGTTGGCCTCGGCAGAGCATCACGATGAGCGTGCCGAGTGCAGGATGAGGGGTTCAGTGCCCGTCTTAGGGTTCAAGGTGAACGTTTAGGGGCGGTACTCTTTGGTTCTATTCGGTAAAGTCACGTAGGTAAAAAAATAAAACAACAAAAATCACGACGTTTTTCGGCCACAACACAAGCGGCCTTCAGCCTGGTCCCTTCACCTGATGAAGGCCGCTTGTGTTGTCGCCGAAACGTCGTAATTTTTGTTGTTTTATTTTTTACCTACGTGACTTTACCGAATAGAACCAAAGAGTATGGATCCTTGCAGTCACGAAAGCTTTAAATCTAGAGTTTAGGGGCGGGTGTGATGTTGGCGTTGTGATTCCGGTGAAACACACACAAAAATTTGAGTTATGATTTAGGGGTTTGGGCTTTTGCGTTAGCGACTACCCCAAACTCTGTTTAACACCCTGTAAGCAAGCCAACGGTTGGACGAACGTTGACATGTGGTTGGAAACGTTGGGCCAACGTTGGTCCTATGCGTTCCATGCATGACGGCAGAGACGGCACTCAATGTATCGACCACGTAGATGTGATGATGATGATGATGATGTTAATGGTGAGGCTGGGTGAACAATTGACAAGGAAATCCAACTCACGACCCCCTTGGGAGGCTGCTGTATAATATTCACGACCACTCTTTGGACGGACAATGTGTGGCATTCCTCCCTGTCCGATCGATGTGCATGGCACCGCCAAGCCTACTGCTTATTCACTTTATGAACAAGTGGGCGAGAAGAAAGAAGAAAACATGCACATGCACGGCTTGCCTAACGCTTTACCAATAAGCGTCTTGTCCTCGGGTGCATTTAATTTAGCAGCACTCGTTTGCAAATAATAAAATGTGTTGCTCTGGTTTGGTGTCTCCCAGTGTTGAGCAATACCGATCTATGTGGCCGGATCACTCTTGACAAAGTCCCCAATAGCAAGTCGACTTTATACTTATACGGTTTGAGTCGTATCGGGTGACCTTTACTCGGCTTCTAGAGCTCTCCTCCTGCACGTCATTCATGACATCGGTAATGATGTTATCGTTGGTTGTAATAATAAAGGTTCTTATCTGTTATAGTAGGTGATGTTACTGCACATGTGTTGGGGTGCTATGGGGAATAAATACATGGCACGGGAAGGTGTGGTTCACCCACACCTTGGTGGCTACAACAACGTCCGCTAAGGCTCCACCCCTTGTGGGTATAAAGTGCGGGGAGCCAGGGAGCTTGGGGGCAGAGTGTTGGGCCCGAGGCTGAAGCAACCAGTGAAGAAAGAAGGCCAGCTAGGTGAGACCCTGGAACTCCTGTGATCGCTGCCCTTTTCAGGGCCGGCACAGCAAGGCAGTGGTGCGGCCCCAGAGCCCCAGAGTCAGAGTCCTTCTAAGGGCCGGTCTGGTCGGCGGGGTGCCGAGATCTGTGCCTAACCAGGGCCAGATCTGATAGCCTCCCATAGAGCCCTACCAGGAGGAACTAGAAGCCTAGAGCTTAGGCTAGAGAGCCTGGGGTGTGTTCCTGAGTTATACGGGTAAAGGGGCCGCTACCCCTTCTAGTGTAACCCTTGTTAAGGTTTAAATAAATAGTGCTGCTTCTACTCTGCCGTCTCCGTGTCCTGGAACCCACTACAACTGGTGTCAGGAGTGGTCTTAAAATGGACACAAGGAGTACAAACCGATCACAGGAACCCCAGGAGGAGGACGGCTCGCCTGGGATTGCGCCAGAGGCCACAGCCGACGATCCTGGGATGCCCCAGACGCCCCAACAGCAGCCGCCGCTGGAGGAGTGGCCGCCGATGGAGGACGGGTTGCAGGCGGCTCACTCTCGACTGGCTGAGCTGCTGTATGCCGCGGCTTCCACGCTGGAGGAAATCAACCGCGCGGGGCTGCGGGCGCAAAGGTGGCAGAGAGACGAACGCCGTTCAACGGCCATTCCCGCCGAAACACAGCCACCAGATTTCGGATTTGCCGCCATGACAGTGTCCGCCATGGCGATTGGAGGGTCGCAGCTCCACGTGGACGCTGTGAGCCAATCAGCGGTGGTGACGTCATCACCAACGGACGCCCGCTGTCAGGACCAATCGGCGGGCGCATCATCATCACCTGCGCGACCGCCAGTGGGTGTCCCCAGCCCCTCCAACACCGGCGGAAATGCCGGAAATGGAAAGCGGCACCTCTCAGAGACGGATCCGTCATTTCAACAACGCCTGCCGGTGTTGAAGGAGTTCGTTTCAGAAGGCGGCGACTGGGGGGCCTTTCAACGCTGCTTCCTCGCTCATCAAGAGATGGCCGGCTGGACGGACAACGAGGCGTTGCGTGCGCTACCGGCCATGCTGGACGATGACGCCCTTGCTACGCTACAGTCGGCGCTCCAGGTCCTCACCATAGTCTACGGGCCACCGTCGGATTGCCGCAAACTCTTCCACGAGCAGTGCGGGGCCAGAAGGAGCCACCGCTGGCGTATCGCACGGCTCTCCTGGCCCTCGCAAAAGCGTCTTTCCCGCGGATGGACGGCGAAGGGGTGGACGCGATGGTGACGGAGAAGCTCCTGGCGTTGGCCCAAGAGCTACAGATCGTCATCGTCGCAGAGGACGACGCGGATATGTGCTCCTTGCGGGCAGCAAGACACATCCACGCGCATCTGATAGCGCAACGTCGATCACCTCTCGTCCCCAAGGGCGCAGCTGCGGTGTGCGCTGGGACGCCGACCATCCCCCCTCCGAGGAGTTCTTCGCGGCGGGTCGCCCGGTGGAGTGGAGATCCGGAGGGAGGCCGGCTCGGACAACACCGGATCGCCAGGAGCACCCCAAGGCGCTCATCACGTGCTACAACTGTGGCCGCAAGGGCCACGTGGCTGCGGAATGCCGGGCGCCTCGTCAACGACAGCCGGGACGGTCGGACGGCGCTCCAGCCTACAGGCCTCCGCATCGCAACCCGGCAAGTCGCGGCACCCCACATGCTCGGCCCGTGCACACACCTGTCCCCACCTCGCGCGTTTCGGTGTACGGGCCTCGGGGTACGCCCATTGGTTTGTTGGGTGGCGGCGGGGTCGAGAGGGTGCTCGGGCCGGGGCAGTGGACGGAATTGGCCCTCCGCATTGTTGCTGCGTCGGCAGGCTCGTCCGTGGTCGCGGGTCGCATTGACGGGGTCGAGGTGCGTATCCTCGTCGATACGGGAGCTTCGGCGACCATTGTGTCAGACTTGATTTATAATATTCTTCCCTTTCAAAGCCGCCCCTTGCTCTCAGTCACCGTTCCGTGTTACGCAGTGAACGGGGGTTCGCTGGGTATCATAGGCCAAATTCGAGCACAAATTTGCATTGGCGATATCAAACTCTCCGGGCCGATATTAGTCTCGTCCTCGCTGGCGGTTCCGTGCTTGTTGGGGACGGACTTTTTGGGCAAAATGCCGATTAAAATTCTAATTGATCAGGATTGCATCGAGCTTCTCTCGGGCCGACGGGTAACATTCCTGCCTTCCCCTGTCACCTCAAGGGCAGCGTGCGCGTCGATACAAGCGTTCGTCACTCGGACGGTGCGTGTACCTCCCGGGGCGCAAATGCTCGTGCCCCTTCGCTTGCGTCGGCCTTTCGTGCCCGGTGTTCTGGACCAGGGAATTCTGTTAGGGCCCTCGAGGGCTGGGGAAAACGGGCTGGATCTGGTGGCCGCTCAAACGCTCGTTAAGGGGAGCGATGACCCGTTTATCCTCGTCCTTAACGTTGGCGTACAGACGGCCGTCGTTCCTCAGGGAACTGTGCTCGCGCACCCAACGCCGGTCCCCGTGGTAGACACGGTTATGGGTAATGTGGGGACCGATCCTCTGGCTCAACCGTATTCTGAGGGGGACGATAGTTGGACGGACGCACTATGTTCGGGCACGAGTGATCTGTCCGACTCCCAGCGTGCCGGCCTACGCACCCTTCTGACGGAATTTTTTGATGTCTTTAGTAAACACAAATATGACATTGGGTGCACGAAATTGTTGCGTCACCACATTGACACGGGTGACAATGCCCCGTTACGCCAGAATCCTTTTCGGTTAAGTCCGGCCGAAAAGGATCATGTCAAATCGGCAGTGGATGACATGTTGGCTGCAGACATTATAGCCCCTTCCACCAGTTCATGGGGAGCACCCATAGTGCTTGTCAAAAAGCACGATGGGTCCTTGCGATTCTGTGTGGATTTTCGCCGCCTTAATAAGATCTCCGTGGCCGACGCATATCCACTTACCCGGATGGACGAATCTCTGGATGCTCTGGCTGGCGCACGTTTTTTTTCTACGTTGGACTTGTTATCCGGATTCTGGCAACTCCCATTGGATGATGAGTCCAAGCCAATGACTGCGTTTCGCACACCACACGGCCTATTCCAATGTAACCGGTTACCTATGGGATTACACTCCGCTCCGGCGACATTTCAGCGCCTTATGGAACTGGTTTTGGCTGGCTTACAGTGGAACGTCTGTCTGATCTGTCTGGACGACGTCATCGTGTTCAGCAAGACATTTGACGAACACCTTTTGCGCTTGCGCGCCGTGTTCCTCAAAATGCGCGCTGCGAATTTGAAATTTAAGCCGCAAAAGTGCCACCTGCTACGGGAATCCGTATGCTATTTGGGGCACATCGTCAGCCGCTCGGGCATATCCACCGATCCCGCAAAGACGCAGTGTGTCAGCTCCTGGCCAACTCCCACCTCGGTGGCTGAGGTCAGGAGTTTCATTGGATTTGCGTCTTATTACCGGCGGTTCGTCGCGGATTTTGCGACCATTGCTAAGCCCTTACACGCTCTGACGGTGAAGGGAGTGAAATTTCACTGGGGCCAGGACGAGGAGGTCGCTTTTTGTTCCCTTTGCGACACTCTCGTGCCGGCCCCTCCATTGAGCTACCCCGATTTTTCGGAACCCTTCCTGCTCGATACAGACGCCAGCAATACGGGCATTGGTGGTGTGCTCTCACAGGTGATCTGTGGTGTGGAACGCGTCGTGGCTTATGGCAGTAGGGTTTTGTCTCCGGCGGAACAGAGATACTGCGTCACGCGTCGGGAACTCTTGGCTATTGTATTTTTTATGCAACAGTATCGCTCATACCTGTACGGTCGGCATTTCACTGTCCATACGGACCATGCGGCATTACAATATGCCTT